TTTTTTATATTGATACATTTTCTAAAAGATTTGTTTTTCGTCCAAATCTTTATTTAACAAAAATTAAGTCAACAAAATCTTTTCTAATTTCTATTTCCTTTTCTTTTCAAATCAAATCTTTGTGAATTTGTTTCGAAAATAAATTATGTTTCAATAAAAAAAATACTTTCTTCTTTTTAAAATAAAATATTTTTTTCCATTAAAATTTGTTTTCTCATTAAATATTTTTATCAGCATTTCATTAAAAATTCAAATTTGACAAAAACCAAAATCAAAGTTTCACTCAAAACTAACTTTTTCTCTTTATTAAAATGCTTTATTTTTATCATTTTCTAGAATCAAAATTCAATAAATGGAAACAAAATGCCATCACTACGGCTGGTGGAAATGGACAAGAACAATAATTAAATCAACCATCTTGAGGGTGTAGATAAATAAAACATGAACCCACACCGACAAACCCGTACTTTCACCGACATTCACACCCTCTTCATCATTACTCAAAATTTCTTTTACTTCTGGTTTAATTTTATCACCTGAACCTCCATCATCAATATTATCAAAACTTCAAGCTGATTTTAGTTCGTTACCAATACCTTCTTTAACTAAAGCAGAAATTTCAACATGTTCATCTATTTTATCAGCAAAAATTCAATCAGTTTGATTTACAGCTGGAACATTTGCTTCAATAACAACTGATAAATCATCTCGTTTATCATCAACAAATCAAGGACGTTTAAATATAAATCTATCACGAAAATTAGGTTAATTATCAATTCAATATTTTCTTTATTTAGACATCAACGATTAAAATGATTTCAACTTTTACATACTAAAAATCTTGATCAATGTTTCCATCAAATGAATTTTCAACATTATTATCTTCTCTTAAATCAACAAATAATTTACAAAAATCTTCTCCAAACCAAAAAAATTGTGAATTTTGTCCTGATTCAAATACATATGGTTATTTAAAGCATCGACTTTGTTCAACCGAAAATTTATTGCATCAATAGCATGTTTATATCTTTTACATATCGATGAAATAATAAAGTTGTTAATTAAATATTAAAATTATGATTATGGTTAAAGAGAAATTTAAAGAGGATAATACAGATGAGAAGAATATGTTTCCAGTTGAGGGTGTGCTCACGAAATGAATTTAATGTAAATTTTAATTTTAATCAATGAAAATAAAATACATAAAAAATAATGTCTTTTATGTTTTTATTCTCTAACGAAATGTAATGACAAATAAATGAGAGAATTCTTCGATCCTTTTTAATATCAAAATGTAACGTATGCATGCTATCATAATGATTCTGTTCGAACACAGATAAAAGATGGACCAAGACCAAATCGAGGATCGGCTCAATTGCATTGTGAATTTTATTTTAAAATATAACATACATGATACAGATTTGAATGAAATTATTAAAAAGATAAGACATTTAGTTTATATTTAATAGTAAAATGGTTATTCCTAGATGTGTAAATAGTTAGTCAGTCACATGCACTTGCGTGTATATAACCGACTATCCATGCACACGTGTATACATAAACACTTTCTTAAGTTTATATATAAAAAAGTAGATAAATAGATATTCGTTTCTTCTATAGACATCTATTCAAAGACATGGCAATGACAAATAACAAAACACAATGTTTTACATGTAATAAAGACAAAATAACATTTTCTTGTAGAGGATGTTCAAAGGAATTTTGTTTAATACATTTACCAGAACACTATCAAAGATTAAATGAAGAATTAAATCATATTATTGATGATTATAATGAATTTAAAGAAAATATTAATGAACAGAAACAAAATCCAGAAAATCATTCATTAATAAAACAAATTAATCAATGGGAAATAGAATCAATTGTGAAAATTCAACAAAAAGCACAAGATTGCAGAGAGATTGTCATTGAATCATTGCAAACACTTATTAATGATATTGAAATGAAATTTAATGACTTAAATAAACAAATACAAGAACTTCAGAAAGAAAATGATTTTAATGAAATTAATTTAAATCATTTAACAAATCAGTTAAGAAAAATTACACAAGAATTAAATAGCCCGTCAAATCTTTCTATTCAACAAGATTCACAATCATTTATTAATAATATTTCAATTATTTTACCAAAAAGTAAGTTTTTAAGAAATAATTCTTACGTTCTATAAAATTATGTTGAAAAACTATAAAAACAAAGAAAAATGGTGACGAAGAAGATAAAACAATTGAGAGTATTATTTATTTATTTAATCAATAATAATACAATTGATAGATATAGAAAATTCACCTTCTTTGTATGTAAACGAAAAGAATGATATGATAAGAAGTAATATTAAATGAAAAAATGAATTTTTCTTCGGAGTTTGAAAAGATATATTTGGTTAATAAAAATAAAATTGAATTATATTCAAATTTTGATTTAACAAAAAATAAGTCAATGAAGTCTTCTCTTTTCAAATTAAATATTTGTCACTTTGTTTCGCAAATAAACTACCTTTCAATAAAAATATTCTTTTTCTTCAAAGTTTCGATTTGAAAAACAATATATTCCAAATTCTTTTTTCTTTTTTAAACAAAATATTTCTTCGATAAAAAATAGAATTTTCTTCCTCGTCTTCCTCTCATCAAAATCTATTGTTTTCGTCATTTTCTAGAACCAAAATTTACCAAATGGAAACAAAATGCCATCACTGTGGCTGCTGAAAATGGACAAGGACAACAATTAAATCAACTCAATCGCCCTGTTGGAATCTTGATTGATAAAGAGAAAAATATTTTCATTGCTGATAATTTCAATCATCGTATTGTTGAATGGAAATATAATGCCAGAGAAGGACAAGTCATTGCAGGTGGAAATGGCAAAGGAAATCGTATGGATCAATTGAATTGTCCAACAGATGTGATTGTTGATCAACAAACTCATTCCATCATCATTGCTGACTCTTTAAACAGGCGAGCGATCCGATGGATGAATCAAAAGCAACAAATTCTCATTCACAATATTGACTGTCAAGGATTAGCAATAGATAAACATGGATTTCTCTATGGTTCTGATTATAAGAAGAATGAAGTGAGACGATGGAAAATGGGTGAATTCAACAATGAAGGAATTATAGTGGCAGGTGGAAATAGAAAAGGAAATCAACTCAACCAACTTGATTATCCTACTTTTATCTTTGTTGATGAAGATCAATCTATTTATGTAGCAGATAGAGAGAATCATCGTGTAATGAAATGGAGAAAAGATGCAAAAGAAGGAAGAATTGTGGCTGGAGGAAACGGTGATGGGAGAAGTCTTAATCAATTATCTTCACCTGAAGGAATAATTGTTGATGATTCAAGTCAAATCTATGTGGCAGATAGTGGGAATCATCGAATAATGCGTTGGTATGAAGGAAAAGAAGAAGGTGAAATTATTGTTGGTGGAAATGGTGCAGGAAATCAACCAAATCAATTGAAAGGTCCTGCTAGTTTATGTTTTGACGATGAAGAGAGTCTTTATATTACTGATTATTGGAATCATCGAATTCAAAAGTTTGAAATCGTTCAGTGAATGAAATTTTGATTTTGAAAAAAAATGAGATATAAAATTAAAGAAAAAGTGAAGTTTTATTATTGAAAATCAATAAAAAAAATCAATTAAAAATTGAAGAAAAAGACATATTTTGACAAAACAACAGAGTAACATCTGTTTGGTTTTTTCATGAAAACTGAATTAAATTTGATAGTTTTGAGTTAAAAAATTCGAGCAAATTAACGTTAACTTGTTCATTTTTTGTTAGTTTTCTGTGGAATTTCAAAGGAGAAAAGAAAAGAATTTTTCAGTTTGAATTGAATTGATATAAAAGTTATTCAAAAAGAAGATTTTATCTTTGATTAAATTCTATTTGAGTCTTTTTATTTGATGAAAATAATGAAATATTTTTGTTTCTTCGATTTAATAAAATTTAACAATTGTTCAAAATTGAAATAAAAATCGAAATGAAATGAATTTTGTTGGACGAAGTAAATGTTGAAAAGATTTTTGTTTAATAAATTAAAAAACTTTATCATTTTGTAATTTTATTTTGTTTGATTTTAAATTTTAAAATAAATCAATGCACATTTTCACTGAAATGGAGGAAAAAGGAAAAATTAATGAAAAAACTTATAAAATAATACAAATTTTAAATTTGATTCTTCATTTCAAAGAGTTTTAATCAAATGAAAATGTTTTCATCTCATTTCTTTTAATATAAATCTTCAAAAAAGATTTGTTTTGTTGTTCAAAGAAATTAAAATAAGTAGTAGATAATTTCTTTATCATATTAAAATTCAATTTTCACAAATAAAAGTTTTAAATAAAAAAAATCAACATTTCTTTTGTTTTGAAATATTTTCAACTTTGACGAAAAGAATAATAAAAATCACTTGAGAGTATGAGTGCTGTTTTCACTATGTTTTGACTTACATCCACATTCCAAAGTAAAATTATTCGACAAAAAATAGCACTAGAATAATTGAAGAAATATTAAAATAGATAATTTGAAATATTTATTATCAGAATGTAATTACCTGAAGTTAATAAACACTTAACTAAATAATCGAGTTTCATGATGAAATATTTTCAGATAGGTTTGTCAAGAATACATGTGACTACGAGAAAATATCTTTTATTACCAAAAATAAAATATGTTTTCATAAATATGATCAACAATAATAGCAAAACAAGGAAATTACAGATGAAATGATCATAGCGTGATCATCTTCGATATTCACTAATATCAACATTTGAATGACATGAGAAATAAATGAAGAATATAAATTCATTTTAATTACAAATAAAAAATAAATTACAAATTTCATATTAGTAGATATATTAATATTAATTATGAAAATTTTTCAATATTTAAAAGTTATTCAATTCATTTTATAATAATTTATTAAATATATGTAATCATATATATTCAACTTAAATAACGGTATGTTTATCAATGTTTTTATTTTCGATCGATTCTCTTTTGCTAGAAAATTTATTTGATGAAAAAGGAATTCTTATTTATATAGAAATAATTATACAAAACATCACAAGTTTAGAAATTCAATTCTTTGAAATAATACGAAAAACGAATGAAAAAGAGTAAGACACATTAACTATTTTGATAACGAAAGTGATGATAATGATGATAAAAGCGAACAGGACAATGCAGTTGAGTGGATAAGAGATTGATATACCATTCATCTTGTGGATAAAGCTGTAGTTTTTTTATTTTAAACTAAAATAAAATCGAGTCCCCTCTTTTTATCCAACCATCTTAGATACTATATCAATTTTATCAGTGGGATTTTGTCACACCTAGTAATTGTTGACATAAAACAATTCTTTTTCAAGTTCTTTTGCTACCGAACAATGTTTTAATTTATGTTTAATCAAAATTAAAATTCAGTCAACGTTTCAATCTGACTAGTCGAAATTGAAATGTTATTTTTGCCTAGTCAGAATTCAAATTTCAATCCCGACTAGTCAAGTTTGACTGAATTTCAATATTGGCTATCACATTCTATAAAATCATATAAGAATATATAATTCATTTCTTCTATCAACTTCTATTCAGAAACATGGCAATGGCAAATGACAAAACATTATGTTTTACATGTAATGAAGATAAAATAACATATTCTTGTAAAGGATGTTCAAAGGAATTTTGTATAACGGATTTAACAGAACATCGTCAACTATTAGTCAATGAACTACATCATATCACGAATGAATATAATGAATTTAAACAAACAATGAATGAACAAAAACAAAATCCACAAAATAATTTATTAATAGAACAAATTAATCAATGGGAAATAGAATCAATTGAAAAAATTCAACAAAAAGCACAAGAGTATAGAGAACTTGTTATTGCATCAACACAAACATATATTAATGATATTGAAACGAAATTTAAAGACTTGAATGAACAAATAAAACAAATGCAAAAAGAAAACGAATTTAATGAAATCAGTTTAAATTATTTAACAAACCAATCAATAGAAATTACACAAGAATTAAATAATCCATCAAAAATTTCTGTTAAAGAAGATCTACAATCATTTATTAATGAAGTTTTAATTATTTCATCAAAAAGTAAGTTTTTATCAAATAATTTTTGAATGGATAAGTCACATTTTCTAAGAATTTATTTTAAAAACTATAAAAACAAAGAAAAGTGAAGATATTATTTATTTTACAGAAACTAAATCAACAAGATCTTTTCTTTTTTCTTCAATAAAAAACAACTTTTCTTCTTTTTCTTTTTATGTTTTTCTAGAATCAAAAATCAACAAATGGAAACAAAATGCCATCACTGTGGCTGGTGGAAATGGAAAAGGACAACAATTAAATCAACTCAATTACCCTTTTGGAATCTTTATCGATGAAAACAAAAATGTTTTCATTGCTGATTGTACTAATCATCGTATTGTTAAATGGGAACATAATGCAAAGCAAGGACAAATCATTGCAGGTGGAAATAAACAAGGAAATCGAATGAATCAATTGAATTATCCAACAGGTATGATTGTTAATCAACAAAATCATTCCATCATCATTGCTGATTTGGCTAATAGCCGAGTGATTCAATGGATAAATCTAAATCAACAAATTCTCATTCGCAATATTGATTGTTATGCCTTGACAATGGATAAGCATGGGTTTCTTTATGTTTCTGACTATAAGAAGAATGAAGTAAGACGATGGAAAATGGGTGAATACAACAACGAAGGAGTTATAGTGGCAGGTGGAAATGGACAAGGAAGTGGACTCAATCAACTGAATTATCCTACTTTTATCTTTGTTGATGAAGAACAATCCGTTTATGTATCAGATTGCTTCAATCATCGTGTGATGAAATGGAGAAAAGATGCAAAAGAAGGAACAATTGTGGGTGGCGGAAATGGTAAAGGAGAAAATTTGAATCAATTATCTTCACCTGAAGGAATAGTTGTTGATGATTCAAGTCAAATCTATGTAGCAGATAGTGGGAATCATCGAATAATGCGTTGGTGTGAAGGAAAAGAAGAAGGTGAAATTTTTGTTGGTGGAAATGGTGCAGGAAATCAATCAAATCAATTAAATGGTCCTACTGGTTTATGTTTCGATGTTGAAGGAAATCTTTATGTCGTTGATTTCGAAAATGATCGAATTCAAAAATTTAAAATAGTTTTGTGAATGTAATTTTGATTGTCGAGAAAAGAAAAAAAAATTTTATTGTTGAAAATCAATGAAAAAATTGAATAAATTTTTGATAAGAAAATAACGAAGAAAAAAAATCTTGTTAGTTTTTTTATCAACCTTGAATTTAATTGGTAATTTTTGTCGAGTTTTACAGAAGAAAAGAAAAGAAATAAAAACTATCACAAAATGATTTAATTATTTATTAGTTTTATTATAAAAAGATTAAATTCTAGTTAAAATCATTCAAGATCTACTCAATTGTATTAGATTTCATCGGAATTATTTATTATAATATTTAGTTTTTGAAAATCTAACAAAAAAAATCCAATTATTTGTTTACATAGAATAAAAACTAAGAGATAAACTAATTATAATTTCAATATTTACATTCTTATCTAATAAATTTATAATAAATAAGTTTATCAAGAAAAAGAGTATAATGAAGAATCAGTTTATTCATTCTTTTTATAAAATTATATTTGAGAAAAAAATTCATTGAACCAATTATAGAATTTCTATTTAATTAAACAAAATTTTTATTAAAAATAAATTCAATTTATAAAGTATTCATTTGATATTATACAATATGAATAATATTTCCATACATAAAATATTAATTAAACAATCCTTGGTATTTTTTTTAAATAAATGTAAATTGAAAAACAATTTTAATTAAATTTCAACAAACTTTACAATATAATAGATGAATCTAATACAGTGAGACCTTGTGGGTGTGAGTGTTCTTCCTATTCACTACCCACACACATACCCTATATAACACCAAATTGAATTTGTTACAGAATTCTTAACAGTATATTCATTTTTTAGTTTCTATTCGCAAAAGATTTTTCTAGCCTTATTCAATCTCGTTTACAAGCAAAATATAAGTTGTAAGACTTTTTATTAATTGTTAGTATTTTCCTCGTTATTTACACAAGTTTTCTGATTTCGAAAAATAGCACCAAACACGTTTTGATGAAAATCATATAGTAAAATTCACAAATGATAAATATAGCATAATGAAACTACTTGTTCCATGCATTTGTTTAATTATGTTGTAAACGCTCAGATATGCGATATTTGTTTTGTTTCTCTTCAGCAACTATTAAAATCTTACTATTTATACATTAACAATCTAACAAAAGGCACAAATGTATATATATTTTATGAAAGAAATATAGTGTTTTATGCACAACGACTAAGTATTATAAATGTAGAATGCCAAAAAAAACTTTTTTTGTCTTCGTAATATCAGTTTTCTTCCAGTAAATAAATTCATAGCTAATTACTGATCAGATATTATTTATTTAAATGAGTTTATACTTGTTTCTGAGCACATTCTACATACAACAAAATGCCAAATGATATTTTACAATGAACTAAGTGTAATCAAAAACTATTTGCTCTCCATCGAAATCCACATTCCATACTTTCAAGATTTGTATTACATTATTTATTTATTCAGCAAGCAAAAAAAGAAAAATTAAAATATAATAAGCGACAATGAAAACTGCATGAGTTAAATTAATAAAATGATGTGTAATAATAAAAGTGAATGAAACTTGTTTTTTTTGTTTTTTGTTTATTGTGCGACATCACTGGAGATACTCGAAGCAGATAATGCATTTTTAATAAATTAGATAGCATAAGCATATTAATGTGAAGCTTGCTTGTAAAAATCTATAGCTTCATAAATTTTTGCACACGGCTGTTACCAAAATCAGCAATATACATGTTCATATCTGAGTCAAATGCAATACCTGTTGGTCTATTAAATGTCGTTGCAGTACTACCACCAATAACAGATCCAGCAATGGTAATGCCTGTTTTATTGTTGGCACAAAACATTTGAACTCTATGGTTATTTGTATCAAGAACGAACATATTTAGATATTTGTCAAGTTTAATGCCCGTCGGACTATTTAAATGAGTAGAGCTAGAGCTGGCTATACCTGGCACACCGGCAATGAAAGTACCCGAAGAAGCACCAGGTGTCCAACGCATTATTGAATGCCCAACATTATTTGTGATAAATAAATCACTACTTACAGATGGCTGATACCAAATACCCCAAGGGTAGCTTAATGATGTGATAGTGTTTCCTGCTCCATTTCCACCAGCGACAACTGTTCCGTTGTCCCCTGAGGTGGAATTTGTCGAGTAGCGCATAATACGATGATTATTACTATCAGCGATATATATGTATTCTTGTGTTGGGTCAAGAGTAATATATCGTGGACCGTACAATTGATTTAATGAAGATCCACCTGATCCCGTTATACCGGCGATGGTGCTTCCAACTGTTGATCCGTTAATATATTTTTGTACGCGGCAATTATAGTGATCAGATACATACATAGTTCCATTTGTATCAACATAGACACCTTGAGGATAATTTAGTTGAGTATTACTTGATCCTCTTGAGTCTTTTATTCCAGCAATTACCGTTGCAGTTGTAGCATTCTTCAATAATCTCCATACAGCAGTGTTAGTGTACTCATCCGTAATATATAAAGCATTATTTGAGTCTATGTATATATCCACGACATTTGTTACTTGTGATGAATCGAGTATAGTAATTCCTGATTTATTCCAAAGATAATTACCAGTTGCACCTAAAAATGATACAAGTGATATATTAATAAGATCTGATCCGTTATCTTATCGAAATATGTACATCATAGTTTGAACCCATCTGAACTGATCAAATCAAAAAACTAAACATCAAAACACATAAGATCTAATGTAGACACGATTCCCTATACGACCTTATCATTAGGATTCAACAATATCGAATATATTAAATATTCGAAAGATTTGATCTAATTTTGAATGATACATGCCAGCAGAAATCTTGCAAGAATCACATGAAGCGAAGCGAATAAGAATATAAAATACAAATTCTGACATATCTTATACTAATCAGTATAAGTTTTCTGAATACAACAAAATATTATAAGATCTGGTAATATGTATCTTATATATTCCTATTAACTCCAGTCTGAGAGTATATGCAAAAATACACATCTATCCATATCGTTCTGTATAGTGGAATATCGATGTTTTCACACTCTAGTTATCTTTATTAAAGCAAAGTTGGAAATATATAAATGTAGATATAAAGAATAAAATTCAGAGATGTGTTGTGAGTCATTGGCATAGTAATAAAGATACAGCCGTCGATCTACCTATTTGAGAGAACATTTATGACTAGTATGGATGCAGAATCGTGACCGACATGGAGAAAAATCATACTGTAAGACTTTGTGTCTATTCTTTGATCTTCTAGGTGTTTTTTAGGCAATATCAATAGAAGGTATAGGTTCTGATACGATTATACATAATATGGAATAATAATCAATGATTGATCTCACTATCTAATTGTATGATCTATGTAAAATTCAATACTAATTTATATGTCTCGTTGTATTCTTATATTGTTAATATTAATACTGCGCAGTCAAAATCTAGGTTTTACTTGTGCGGACTACATAATTATAGATACATAATTGTAATTGAAAACAAAAATACACAGGATTAAGCATAGAAAAATGTATTGCATCAAAAATATCGATTAATATAGATGGAAAACACTTTCTTCTATGTGGACAACAGCGGAATGAATGATAATATATTTAGTTCATATCTTCTTTATAAGATATCTATTCTGTTCACCAGAGTATCTAAAGCTATAGCTTCAGCCAATCTAGATCGTATATAGGCTGTTGTGGATATTACTTATTTTGAGCAACTAATATATTAACATGGAATTATTCTTTTGTGGCTGATGTATTTCAGCTATTCTCATGTTTCAAACCCTTCTTAGAAGCAAATTTTTCAGTCAAAGCGCGGATATTCATTTTATCTACGGATTTTATCGTAATGGAAACAAAATCAGTATAATAATGCTGACGGTACATCAACAGTCAACGAAAAGGAATACTTTGCAGGTCAGTTCTAGCTCGCAATGTCCTAACTAAAGAGAGATAAATCTTTTGACGACTTCATTACATAAAATATCAAATTTCGATAAACTCAACGAATGTTATTCTCTCAATCTATTTTAACATGAGAATCATTCAAGTCCTATCCAAAAATGATACAAAGCTACTTTCATCAATGACTTTCGTAAGCAACTAAAACTAATGATTTTATGAATAGTTCACTAAAAGTAAACAACACATTTTCTTACTAACATGGATTTCCTGCTGTTGTTGTTGTTGATGTTGTTGATGTTGTTGACGTTGTTGTTGTTGGCGTTGTTATTGATGTTGTCGACGTTGACGTTGTTGTTGACATTGACGTTGTTGTTGACGTTGTTGTTGATGTTGTTGACGTTGACGGTGTTGTTGTTGATGTTGTTGACGTTGACGTTGTTGATGTTGTTGTTGTCGGTTCTATTTTGCAGAGATAAGTTTAGAATAAGAGTAAGCGGTTGAATACGGGTTTACTCCTAATTTCTTACTTCTTCATCTCTAATTATTATATATCTGCTAGAAATGTGACGGTATTGTGATAGAAGAATAAATCTTTAGACGATTACAATTATGATTGTACATCTATAATCTTTATTCTAATCAAATCTCTAGCATAGGAATTCTAACAAATGATTTTCTGTTTCTTATAGTTTAAGTGATAAGAGTTTTAGAATTGTCCAGATTAACTTCTATAAAACTTGCATACTGTTACTGTTCTTAAAATATTTCATTTTTATTCAAGTTCACATTCTATTTAAAAACTAATGTTAGCTTAAAGACCAAAACTCACAGCTCATGGATATCTATCACAAAATCGAATGAACTCAGGCCGGTCTATTTCATAGCTTTTGCTGCATCTTCCATATGAGGCGTTATAGCATTTTCCAGGAAATCGTATGAATCGTAAATATCAAGTGAATTTTCGGAAAAACGCTAAAACACATCAAATCGAAAAATATGCTACAAACGACTTTATTGATATTTGTTGAGTTTTATCGATATCGCGAACTAATGAAACTCCAACACGGTCCTACAATTCAGTTATGATGAATAATGATTGAATCTTAGAATTTGAGTGAAAGTCATTTTACATTGTTCAACCCAGTGGAAACACGATGTATTTTCACCATCTTGGATGAATGGTGTTTGCATGGATCAGAATATCGGTAAGAATAAATGTCAATGAGGATGCCACTGTGAATAAGAGAATACAATTTACATATCGTTCTCATGAGAAAATCAGTACACTAACGGTTAATTCATGATGACGATGAAACACGTTTTTCTTGAGTTTGAGGTTTGCATTTTACATTGCTACAATATTTTTTGAATTACTAAAGTCTATACAAATGCTACTTAAAACATAAGATTAGATGTTGATATACATGTCTCATATCGATATTATGCCAACTAGTACTTCAATGTTTAGAATTATTCGAATCCTCTCGAGAGTGGGTGAGTACAAGTAATTACTTAAATGATCAATAAGTTCTATCATATGGAGACCTTTTCATCATCAACGTTTTCATCTGATACTATTGGACAAGACAAGAATATTCAATACTTAAATGAATGTTGATCAAATCAAGTCATCAAAATTTGACCTTATTACGACTTCTGATAGGAAATGTTACTTAATATTGTCTATTTAGATGACGATCACTCAATAGTTAAAATCAAAACTTTAAAATATCATAATTTCTAGTAATCATCTTTTGAGTCACTACAAAGGATTTAATTTAATACTCACTCGCTATTGCTGTTGTCGATATTTTTGTTTTAATTATTGTTGTTGTTTTTGTTATAGGTTCTTTCGTTGTCATTGAAGATGAAATTTCACTCTTCTCTCCGTTTGGCATAATTACATTATAAAAAGATGCCTGTTTTATTTGATCTTCCGTTATTTTAGCTCCTGACAAATCACTGTTTGAAAAATGTGTGCCTGTCAGATCAGAGTTTCCAAAATCTGCACCCGACAGATTTGTACCATTAAAACTAGCGCAAAGCAAAGATGAACTGTCAAATTTAACGTTATCCAATCGTCCTCCATCAAATGATACACCGTTTAAACTGGCAAATGAAAATACTGCATTTGACATTGATACTTGATCAAAAGAAACACATTGTAAATTCAACTTATTTAATGTACCAGTTTCACTTGCTAGGTGTACGTTATCAAAGTTTAACTCATTTAAACGAATTATATCATCTAATTTTGTTGTTCTACATCCATCAGAACAATTATTTCTACCAATTAATTGTTTTTCTTTAAAAAATTGTAGAACATCTGCTTTACGTATTGTATCCCATTGACGATGAGCAGCACGATAATATGCATTTGCAAATGCCCATGGATTTTTTGTGTCATCGAGATAACCATCTTTATCTAATTTATAAATATTATTTAAAAATTCATCATAAAGTGTTTGTTGTCTTAATTGTGTTGATTGTTCAAAATCAAACTTTTGTTTTTTCTCAGCTTGTTGTTTTTGTTGTTGAGACCCAATTGCAGTGTAAATAGCAAGAGCTATGGGTATAGCAACTGAAGATATAATACTTAATATATCTTTTAATGTAAAATTCCAAAAGGTTCGTTTGCTAAAATCTACCATTGTCTCAATCTAATTTCAAAACGAATGCTGAAAATAATTAATCTTTCTCTCTTTTGCCGTTTCTCTTTTATTTAACAGCATATTAAGTAACAGTTTTAATTATATTTTCAAAATCAAATGTTACAACAAAAAAAAGAAATAAATAGGTAAATATTCATCACAAACACAACAATAATTAGAAAAACAGTTTCTTGTTACTTTCAGTATACTGAACATTGAATTTGATATAGAATAACAAAACGTATAAATACGGGTAAATGATCATTGATGGAGGCGATGAAAGAAGAAAACCTATACTATTGATTTAAATATCGGAGATTTCTTTGTTTGTCCAAATACGATACAAAATCAAAGAACTTGATTAATTCTCCCGAATAATGGAAAATATATTCTAACAGTAAACTATAAAATGATCTGGTTATATTCATTAAAAAGTTCAACAAAAACAAGAAAAGAGATACTATACACTTGATGAATATTTTTTTTTAATTAAATGCTATCTTCAATACGAACCAGTTTGAATAAGTTTTCTTTTTTCGGATTTTTCACATAACAATCGTTGATATTCAAAAGTTAATCTAAAAGCGTAGTAGAAATAGTTTTATGATCGACTCAAATTATTTAAATTTATAGTTTATCAAAATTAAGAATATAACTACAAGCAAAGGACATTTTTTGTTATGTGTGATAATAAAATGAAAATAGAGTGTGAATGAATGTGGATGTGGTTAAAAATGACGATGATGCCATATGATTTGCTCAAACTCTCACCCATCCATACCCACCCTTAAGATGGTACAAAAATTTCTAATTATCTTTTCTTTAATGCAGGAAAATCAATATTTTTACCTTAACTTTTCTCACTCAACTGTCCTAAAAACTATGTATATATGATATGATACAAATAAAAAAAAATTCATTGCTCGGACTAATTCTAATCAAACAGTCAAATAGTCCATAAGATATATAGACTGGAAACCTTCTTCATGAGGTTTTGAAGGATTTTCGTAACGCAGAGTTAGTTTCATTCAATTAAATATATGTCGTTTGATAGAGTTTATCGAGATGTGTAGAATGAATTATATTTCAGAAGCAGCGTGAGATACAGAAGATATATACACACTCTCCATACCCTCAATATGAGTCGTTTTTATAATCTCAAAAATGATAATCTCGATATTTTTTCGTAAAAATTCAAATAAAAAGGGTAAAAAAATGGATGAACGCGCAAGACGAAGTGACGTGTAGGCGCTCTACCGACTGAGCTACGGCATTACTGCCGATGAGGCTCGAACTCATGACATCCTGCGTGAAAGGCAAACGATGAACCGTCTTAACTAAAGCATCCAATTGTAAAATAAAATTTTTTACTTATTCTACTATACTATGATAGATAACCAGTAGGGATATTACTTTATCTTTATTTTCGTGGAATAGCTCACAAAAAAATGATGATATTACTTAGTTAACTATAGCATAGAATAATATTATGATTAATAAATATTCTTGTCGAAATAGTAAATAAAAATAAAACTTCATGATTAGTATATTTTAGTATGAAATAAATAATGATCAAAATCAAAAATTAGAAAAAAAATTGATAGAAAGAATTTATTTTTGATAAGAGATGCTAAATCGTCCTTGATTAAAGTCCATACTCTAGCAGCTCTAACTCTTACTTTCATTAGAATCGGTTAAATGTCATCGAAAATCTGAATACAGTATTCCGCAGCTCTCAACGACATTGTAAAATGAATCAAAAACGTTTTCTAGCGAAAAAACGACTTCATCGTCTGATGAGTGGAGACTGGTTTATATTTGTTTGAAATTCGTCGATTTCTTTCTTTCGTATAATTATTTTACAAGTGAATCTTTCAACATTAAACTGTCTTTGAAAAGAATGTTCATAAACAATTAATGCAAGTACCGATAGACGAAAATAAATTATTTATCCTTATAATAACCTAATCGACTATATGCCTATATTGACAATTTAGTTCTTTTTCTTTTTTGTCATATGAATTAATCATCTGTTGATTTTTTCTGTTTATTCGTTCTCATTTGGAATTTTCCAACTTAATTATCAGTTTTTATTTCAAAACGACAAACGAATAATGATTCAATGTTTGTACATTCTGTTTCTTCCCTTACCTTTTTTCATCGAAATTTTGTCATAAATAGGAAAAAAACAGATATATCAAATCAACATATTATGTCACTTTACATTACACAAATAATGGCGAAATTAAAAAACATGGCTTGTGAAGGTAATTTCTAAGAGGAAAAAATAAGAAGAGAAAAAAGACCACATTTATATTTGTTTTTTTCTTTTCTTCGTATGTAGGTGTGTTGAGAGGGTATTTATCAAACGTTTTCTTCGATGATATATTTTCAAAAGCATATTTATGAAAAGAATATTATTGTTTTATTTCTTATTTGTAAGATATTACTAGTGTTTATATGTACTATGAGCCAATCAGCAACGACAAATTCTATGAAAGCTAAATGATGATATTGATAAAAAGATATACTAATACAGGTACTATCACAACTGATTCGGAGCTTTTGAGTCCATCTCTATATTTTGCGTAAATCTCAATGAAATTAAGGTAATTCTAATAAGCATTTATGAGTGTAGATGTGAATTAATGAGAACTCACTAACAAATATAACCTCAATCTACATAAAAAAGTATCATGAAAATCGTTTGCACTTTGTATTTGAAATTAAGACGAAATCAATTCTCAGTTTTTCTCCACCCATCTTAGATACCACATCAGTTTTACCAGTGAGATTTTGTCACAATAAAATTCTTTTTAGATATTTTCTATACATTTAAATTGAACAAGATGGCAATGGCAAACAATAAAACACACAATGAAGAATTTAAACAAAGAATTAATGAACAAAATCATTCATTAATGAAACAAATTAATCAATGGGAAAGAAATTCAATCGAAATAATTCAACAAAAAGCACAAAAGTGTAGAGAAATTCTTATTAAATCTTCAGAAACATTGATTTATAATAATGCAAAGAAATTTAATAGTTTATCTGAACAAATAAAGCAAATTCATAGAGAAAATGAAATTGATTTACATTATTTAAAAAATCAATTAGCAAATATTGTAGAAGAACTAAATAATCCACCAAATATTTCTCCTCAACAAAATTCGCAACCAATTATTGATGAAATTTCAATTATTTCATTAAAAAGTAAGTTTTCAAAAAAATAATACTTCTTATTTCTATAAGATTATGTTGAAAAACTATAATACAAATAAAAGAGATGACGGAGAAGATAAAACAATTGCGAATATTATTTATTTATTTATTAATCAAACCAATAAGAATCAAATTGAAAATCTCTTTTATTTTTATTTTTCTATTAGAAAAAATAATAATAATTCATTGAAATTTTCTTTATTTGATATAAATATTTAAGAAGTATTTCAGCGATTAAATAATGGATCAATTACATTTGCTTTTAATTTAGTGAGATTTATCTGATTATTTTAGAAATCTCTTTTCTCCGCCACTTTGTTCTTTTCAATTTCTTTTATTAATCGTCTTTTACTATTTTTTTCATTATCCTCTAGAATCAAAACTTAACAAATGGAAACAAAATGCCGTCACTGTGGCTGGTGGAAACAGAGAAGAACAAGCATTAAATGAACTTAGTCACCCTCATGGAATCTTTATTGATGAAAAAAAAAATATATTAATTGCTGATTGTACTAATCATCGTATTGTTGAATGGAAATATGATGCAAAAGAAGGACAAATCATTGCAGGTAGAAATGGCAAAGGAGATAGAATGGATCAGTTAAATTATCCAACAGATGTGACTATTGATCCACAAAATCACTCGATTATTATTGCTGATTCTTTGAATAGACGAGTGATTCAATGGCAAAATCAATATCAACAAATTCTCATTCGCAATATTGACTGTTATAGTTTGGCAATGGATAAACAAGGATATCTTTATGTTTCTGATATTGTGAAGAATGAAGTGAGACGATGGAAAATGGGTGAATACAACACTGAAGGAATTATAGTGGCAGGTAGAAATGAAAAAGGAGATCAACTCAATCAACTGCATTATCCTACTTTTATCTTTGTTGATGACGATCAATCGGTTTATGTATCAGATTGCTTCAATAATCGTGTGATGAAATGGAAAAAAGATGCAAACGAAGGAACAATTGTAGCTGGAGGAAATGGTTGTGGAGAAAATCTCAATCAATTGGCTTTTCCTCACGGAGTAATTGTTGACGATTTGGGTCAAATCTATGTGGCAGATTGGCGGAATCATCGAATAATGTGTTGGTGTGAAGGAAGAAAAGAAGGTGAAATTGTTGTTGGTGAACATCGTAAAGGAGATCAATCAAATCAGTTAAATGGGCCCCATGGTTTATCTTTTGATGATGAAAAAAATCTTTATGTTGTTGATAATCGTAATCATCGAATTCAAAAATTTGAAATAGATTTGTAAATGAAATTTTTTGTTAAACAAAAAATCGAGAAATAAAAATAAAAGAAGTATTCGGATAAGAATGCCATAAAGAAGTCCCGATAAATAAATGTTAAGTTCTTCATCTTTTGTTGATTTTTGTTGAATTTTATAGGAGAAAAGAAAGTCTTATGTTTGATAAAATTATATTTGAATATTTTTGTTTAGTCGATTCCATAAAACATGAGAATTGTTCAAAATTGAGAGGACAAAAGAAATATTTTATGTAAAATTAATTATAGAAATCGAAATGAAATGACTTTTATTGAACAAAACAAATGTTGAAAAGATTTTTGTTTGATTTTGAAAAGAAATTGTTAGTAAAAATTGATTTATGAAAATGAAAACAAAAAAATAATTTTGAAAGAAAAATGTGCTAAAGATTTGACATAAAATGAAAAATTAATAAAAGTTTTATAAATAATACAAAATTCATATTTGATTATTAATCTGAAATATTTTTATAAATAACAAAAAATGTTTATTATCAAATTAGAATCGTTTGAAGTTGATAGACACTTAATCAAATAATTGAGTTGCATGCTAAAATAAACTCTCAAATTATTTTGTCAAAAATCCATGTGGTTTCAAGAAAGTGTTATTTGTTCTCAAAAATAAAATAAAAATATTTAATACAGAAAATTACAGATAAAATGATCATAACGTGATTAATTTTGGCATTCACTAATATCAACATCTGAATGACATGAGAAATAAATCAAAAATACAAATTTATTTTAATATAATCATATTTATCATGATGATACAAATAAAAAATAAATTATGAATTTCATATAAATAGGTATATATTATATACTAATATTAATTACGAAAATTTTTCATTTAATTTTACAATAATTTATTAAATATATGTAATCATATATATTCAACTTAAATAATGGTATGTTTATCAATGTTTTTATTTTCGATAGATTTTCTTGTACTAGAAAATTTATTTGATGAAAAAGGAATTCTTATTTATATAGAAATAATTATACAAAACATCACAAGTTTAGAAATTCAATTCTTTGAAATAATACGAAAAATGAATAAAAAAGAATAATACACAATAACTATATTTTGAGAACGAAAGTGATGATAATGATGATAAAAGCGAACATGACAACGCAGTTGAGTGGATAAGAGATTGATATACCACTCATCTGTTAGATAAATCTATAGATTTTTTATTCTCAACTAAAATAAAATCGATTCCCCTCTTTTTATCCAACCATCTTAGATACTATATCAGCTTTATCAGTGGGATTTTGTCACAATTAGTAATTGTTGACATAAAACAATTCTTTTTCAATTTGACTAGTCGAAATTGAACTTTTATTTTTGCCTAGTCAGAATTGAAATTTCAATCCTGACTAGTCAAGTTTGACTGAATTTTAATATTGGCTATCACATTCTATAAAATCATATAAGAATATATCCATTTCTTCTACCAACTCCTATTCAAAGACATGGCAACGGCAAAAAACAAAACAATATGTTTTAAATGTAATGAAGATAAAATAACATATCCTTGTGAAGGATGTTCGCAAAGATTTTGTTTACTGGATTTGACAGAACATCGTCAAATATTAACTAGTGAATTACATCATATCACCAATGAATATAATGAATTTAAACAGACAATTAATGAACAAAAACAAAATTCACAAAATGGTTCATTAATAGAGCAAATTAATCAATGGGAAATCGAATCAATTGAAAAAGTTCAACAAAAGGCCCAAGAGTGCAGAGAAATTATTATTAAATCATCACAAATATGTATTAAAGATATTGAAACGAAGCTTAATAATTTACGTGAACAAATAAAACAAATGCAAAAACAAAATGAGTTTAATGAAATTGATTTAAATTATTTAAGAAATCAATTAATAGAAACTACACAAGAATTCAATAATCTATCAAAGATTTCTATTAAAAAAGAGTCACAATCATTTATTCATGATATTTCAATTATTTTATCAAAAAGTAAGTTGTTACCAAATAGTTTCTAACTGGATAATTCTCATTTTCTATGCTATTATTTTAAACAACTATAATACAAAGAAAAGTAATGATAAAAAAAATAAAAATTATCTGTATGTAAAGAAAATGAATGATGAGATATGAAACATTTTTCTAAATATTCATACAAAAATCTAACAAATTATCATCTTTATATAATAAATAGAATAGTAAAAACAAATTGTCTTCTTTTCATTAAAATCCTCTTTTTCATCATTTTCTAGAACCCAAATTTAACAAATGGAAACAAAATGCCATCACTGTAGCTGGTAGAAATGGAGAAGGACAACAATTAAATCAACTCAGTCACCCTGCAGAAATCTTTGTTGATGAAAAGAAAAATATTTTCATTGCTGATAGTGATAATCATCGTATTGTTGAATGGAAATGTAATGCAAACGAAGGACAAATTATTGCAGGTGGAAATGGGCAAGGAAATCGAATGAATCAATTAGATCGACCACCAAATATGATTGTTGATCAACAAAATCAGTCGATCATCATTGCTGATCGTTATAACAGACGAGTGATTCAATGGTCGAATCAAAAGCAACAAATTCTCATTGACAATACTGACTGTTGTGGCTTAGCAATGGACAAAAACGGATTTCTTTATGTTTCGGATCATAAAAAGAATGAAGTGAGACGATGGAAAGTGGGTGAATACAACAACGAAGGAATTATAGTAGCAGGTGGAAATGGACAAGGAAATCAACTTAATCAACTCAATAGTCCAGGTTTAATCTTTGTTGATGAAAATCAATCTGTTTATGTAGCAGATTGGTGCAATCACCGTGTAGTGAAATGGAGAAAAGATGCAAAAGAAGGACAAATTGTGGCTGGAGAAAATGGTCAAGGAGAAAATCTTAATCAATTGACTTATCCTGAAGCAGTAACTGTCGATCGTTTGGGTCAAATCTATGTGGCAGATTGTGCGAATCATCGAATAATGCGTTGGTGTGAAGGAAAAGAAGAAGGTGAAATTGTTGTTGGTGGCAATGGTCAAGGAAATCAATCAAATCAATTGAATGGCCCCTGTGGTTTATCTTTTGATGCTGAAGGAAATCTTTATGTTGCTGATTATTTGAATAATCGAATTCAAAAATTTGAAATAGAGTTGTGAATGAAATTTTTTGTTGAATAAAAATCAAGAAATAAAAATAAAAGAAAAAGTCGAATAGAATATGAAGAAAAAGAAATGTATTGATTTTGAAAACACTTTTAATAAAAATTGAATTAAAAAATGATTTGTTAAAACTAAATATTGTTTTTTCCGTATTTTTTTTTCAAATCAAATGTATAGTTAGAAGAAAAGACATGAAACATCAAATATTGTCTTTTTATAAAGTAGTCACAAGAGTTTATTCAATGAAAAAGAGTAACATATAATCATTATTTTGATAATGGGAGGGATGATAATGATGCAGTTGAATGGATGAAATATTTGATAATCATTGAATCCTCACAATCATTCGAAAGTAATTCAGTTAAAAAATGACCAATTAATTTGGACGCATTTCTAATGCTTACTCTTTTGTAATTCGAAGGAAATTCTAGTATCAGTTTTTCTGTATGCCAATTTATAAGACGAAAAATTTCATTTTTTCCTTAGTTTGTTAAGCTCAAAAAAATGAAATGCTTCTAAACTTGAAAAGTGGCAAAAAATAATGACATTTTTAAATTCAAATTTCCATCAATAATCACGGAATAGAATTATCTAACATTTATTCTAATATAATATGAGCGACATGGAAAATAAATGACCAAAAAAACACCTGAAGGTTGAGAAAAGGAAAGAAATAGATACATATATGTATACGATCGTACTTGTCATTTTACAACACGTAGAATAAAAGAAAGTTAGTCTTTATGTGCATAAGATTTTTATAATATAGATAAGATCAATGATAATAAATTATCTTATCATATATAAATTTAACTATCTGTTCTTTTTTTTAATTTTCTTCACCTATATTTTTGTATGATGTATCAAAGTCGTGTTGTTCTATTTGTAAGTTTATTCTTAATTGGAATTAGTTGTACATGGGCAGCTAATTGGGCAGTCCTTGTCGCTGGTTCTACTGGTTGGTATAATTATCGACATCAAGCTGATGTTTGTCATGCTTATCAAATTTTACATAAAAATGGTATTCCTGATTCAAATATAATTGTTATGATGTATGATGATTTAGCTAAAAATATCGAGTAAGTAAAAGAATTTTTGTATAACAGATTATTCATTTTCCATTTTCTTTAGGAATCCAACAAAAGGTGTTATTATTAATCATCCAGATGGTGAGGATGTTTATAAGGGTGTACCTCATGATTATACTCATTTAGTAAAAATAGATTTGTTTTTCGTTATCTAATTCTCTAATTTGTATAGGAAGTAACACCAAAAAATTTTATGCATGTATTACTTGGTGAAAAAGAAGCATTGAAAGGTGTTGGTAGTAGTAAAGTTTTAGAAAGGTAAAAACAAAAATAATTGAAAGATTAAAATATTATATACATATATTTCAGTGGTCCTGATGATAATGTTTTTATTTATTTTACTGATCATGGTGCTGTTGGTAAAGTTTATCATTTTTTTTCGTTTGAAATTTTTATTATTCTTATTTTAAATATAGGTTTGGTTGCTTTTCCTCATGGTGTACTTCATGCTAAACAATTAAATGAAACAATTACTAAAATGCATACACAAAAGAAATATAAACAAGTTCGTAAATTAATTATATTCATATATTCTTATTTTATTTTTGTTTGTTTGAAGATGGTTATTTATATTGAAGCGTGTGAATCAGGTTCAATGCTTGAAGATCTTTTACCAAATAATATAAATGTTTATGCAACAACAGCATCGAATGCTGAAGAATCATCCTATGCTTGTTATTATGATGATAAACGACAAACATATTTAGGTGATGTTTATTCAGTTGTTTGGATGGAAGATTCCGATGCTGAAAAAATCGACCAAGAAAGTTTATATCAACAATTTTTAGTTACACAAGCGAAAACAAATACAAGTCATGTTATGCAATATGGTGATCTTGTAAGAATACACATATTGAATTTTTATTATTTTAATAATGATTATTTTAGAATTTAGGTAAAACTCATAATGTTAGTGAATTTCAAGGTGCAAACAAACGATTATATAAATCGAATCATGATATCTTGAAAAAATATTATAATAATTTACTTCGAGTACGAAATTTTAATAGATTCGAATTGTTTTATTTCGATTTAATTATAGCGTGATGCTGTTCCAACTTACGATGTTCGTATTTCAATTGTTACTCGTCGTTTAGCTGCTGTAGAAGATAATTCACTTGAAAAACAAAAATTAGAACGTGAACTTGTTCAATTACATAACGATCGAACAACTATTACATCACATATTCATCAAATAGCTGCAATTGCTTTATCAATCAATCGTTCTGGTTATTTAGAAATTGTTACAGAAAAACGTATGAAATTAACACGTTATGATTGTTATCAATCTGTAACAGAACGTATTCAAGAAAAATGTTTTGATCTACAAGTATATTTATTTGTTAATAAAAAAGAAAAGAACGTAATTCTTTTCTTTTTAGAATGAATTTGTTCTTCACAAACTTTATATTATGGCTAATTTATGTGAAATTGGTTTATTTGATTTCACCATTCATCAAGCTATTGATCAAGTATGCAATGAACGGCTTCATTTTGATTATTAACTTTACTTCTTGACAAAGAAAATAATGTGTCCACATTTGATGACTTATATTTCGCTTTTTTTCTTCTTTTACTTTTGTACTTTTTCTTTTCAAAAAAAATATATATTTATATTCATACAAACAACGCAAGAATAATTGCAAATCTTTTTCTCTTCGTCTAATATGGAAAATGATGACAATAACCATGAATTTTATTTTAATCATAAAAATTATTTTCATCGATTTAAATCAAATAATGAAGAGGATCATATTAGTAAATCTATTCGTCATGCATTAGAATATTTCGTCGATGATTTAAAATATGATCGAAATAAAACCATCGACTATTTTTTTAATCAACCAACTATGAACAATATATTTCTATTTATTACACAATTATTATTATCGGAGGATAATTCGTGAGTAAACACATCTATTCTTTTTTATATAAAATTTTTTGTTTATTCTAGTATCTGTGTCAATAGTGCTTATATTATTGGTAGTATTATTGAAATAGAAAATGGTCTTGAATTATTTCTATCGATATTTACTGTCAATTGTACAATTGATGTTATACAAAGATTATGTCAATTATTAACACATTCAGATTTTGATTGTGTATTAAATGCAACGGGTATACTTGGTACTATAGTATGTAGGTTTCGTATTCTAAACGTTTTTTCTCTTCGATTTTTGTTTTTCTAGTGTAGTTCAAAAGAAGGACGTGATTTTATTCTAAATCATACTTCAATTAATGATATCGTATCAAATATAGCCATG